TTCAACTCCCAGAATTCCCCAGCCAGCAGGCTGGCTGGGGAATTCTGGGAGTTGAAGTCCATGCATTGTAAAGATGCCAGCGTTGAGAAACACTGCTCTAGAGGGTAGCTGGTTCAAGAAGATGGTGCAAGCATATTCTGGTTAAACGGTTCTGCAGGTTTTTTGCGTTCCACCGAAAACCGTCTCGTCCCAGAAGCGAGCCGCGTGTGCAGCTCGGTGGAAATTGGCCGCTTCAGACTCTCTTGGAAAAAAAAAATCCCCCAGACTTTGCTTTGTCTAGAAACTGGGGGAAGCTGTGGCAGGCAAGATAAAGCTGGCGTGTTTCTTTCTTCCTTTCCTGATCTCCCCCCTCCCCGCCTCTGATTTTTTTAAAGCCCTTTTATTACCTTGCAACGGAGATAAAACATTCAGCAGTCGATGAAATGTCTGCAGGGCTGGAGGGAAACTTGCAAGCTCCTCGGTTTTCCTGCACTGGAGTGCAAGAGAAGAGCCCCCAAAACAAAAAGGAGAGTGGAAAAGTCTCCCCATCCCTTTCCCCCCCCCAAACATACACGAAAGCAGTCTTGAAAAAGCCTCGCGGAAAAGGGCTCGCTTAGCGAAAATGTATTTAACAGTTGAAAGTTTAAAAAGGGAATTGCTTCTGTTTGCATTTTGGAGGCGTCCAGAGGTATGGGACTACGATTCCCCATCAACCAGAACAGTCAATTTTCCAGGGGCAAAACTTTTTCCTGAACTTTCCATAAAAGTCAGACTTAGACCCTTGGCACCGGCTCTCAAACGATTGCAGAGAGATGAGGACGGAGGTGCGTGAGAGATTCCCGTTGATAAACAGAAGCGCCTCGAAAGGCATAAACCGGAAAAGCGAAACTCGACTGAAAAACGTGAAAAAGCAAAACACCCCCCAGAAAGTGAGTTTCCAGACAGATTGTGCAAATGTTTGCAGTTTGCTGGAAACCTGAGTCGGTTCCAAGTCGTGGTTGCGAGCGGAAAAAAAAAATAAAACAGGACGGGCATTGTTGGGTTAGGAAATGGGTGAGCTGAGAGGGGCAGAAATGACCCACAAACAGCCTTTTTGGACCGTGCTTCCAAACTAGCCAGAATTCATAGTTGATTAGAGGACGATGTTAATACTTTTTAGCCCCCTTTTCAAAAGGAGACTCTTCTTTAAAAAAGAATTTAAAAAAACATTTCCCGGTTGGCTTTCCTTGAGAACAGCTGCAAATAGATGTTGACCTTAATATGTTGCCGAATCCTGCCGAAGACTGCGCTGAACAGGGAGGTTCCACGTTCCACCATGCAGCTTTCTGGGGGGAACGGATTTTTCCCAGAGGTCTCAAGGCGTCTTTCTGGATGCCAACCAGCCCCCCCCCCAGCTTGGTGGCACACTCTCAGCACATGGGAGCCCTCGCAGACTTGGGCCCCATCCTAAGCGCCCCGTGGCCCATTGTGATTAACCCTCATCTGCCTCCCTGCAACCTTCTTCCAGGCTGGCATCGGGTGCGCAGGTCAGATTCCTTGCCCATGCTTCCCTCCCCATCCTTGGGCATCTGCCACTTGCACACACGTGTTCCAGATGTCAGAGGTGGGGAGGCCAGCAGGAGAACGGGGGTCACCAATTGCTCGTTTTCCTGGAACAAGTCAAGGCGGGTTGGAAAAGCTGCCGGTTCTGCTGACGTTTGCTGAGGGCAAATTGCGAGCAATTCCGGGTTGGTGTGCCCATTCCACGCCTGTAATGTTTCACCTGGGTAGAAAGGGGTGCTTTACCTGCCGCGAGGTGCTCCCATGCCAGCCACCACCCCTTGAGCAGAACTTCCTCTTCACCCCCTTCTCTGCTACTCTGCGCCTCTACTTTGTCCGGGACCTTCCTGCTGGCGCCTGAATTTCAGGAGCGCTTCAAATTCAAATCTTGGCCCTTCAAATTCAGCGACGGCAGATCTTTCATTTCTATCGCTGGGCACCACCCTCAGGGTTTACCCAGAGCATTTGGGCAGGCACTGCCAAGCTCTCTCTGCTTTCTGGCCTGCTCTGCGCCTCCCCTGTCGCCTTCTGCCTACCTCCCTGCCTTTTGAAAGCACGAACTGGGTTGACCCTTTTGGCCTGAGAACCAGGGGCATCTTTGCCCACTGAGGAGGGCAATAAATGTTCCTGCCTTTGATTCCGCCTGGCGTCCAAATGGCAGCTCCGGGCATGGGCCGGGGGGCAGGCCTGGGAGAGTTGGCCCAAAGGCTCTGTGGGAGCATGGGGGGGGGGGGCAAAGAGCCTCGACCCCCAGCCAGAGAGGCCTCTTTCCAAACGTGTGGGTGAACGGCTGCTCAGAGCGGGTTCGAGGAGGGACCAAGAGGCAGGTCCAACTCTGAGCCTCCCAATAGTTGTTCTTTCCTGGCGTTTCAGCTCCTCGCTCTTGGCCTTCTCCTCAAGCCCCTCTCTCTGTTTCCTTACTTGTCCTCATCTCCACTGCCTCCCAGCCCCCCTCCCCAACCCCCCCCTTCTATTCTTTTTCCACGTTGGCAAGCCAGCCACGCACCGCCTTGGTGATTTCTCCCAGTTCTCTGAGCCAAAACAGCTCGCACTCGATCTGTTTTAATTGAAAACACGTACAAAAAGTCATGCTCACCAACTCTTCGACGGGTGCTCTCTGGCACACTCATTCTTACACAAAAGCTGTCTTTCGCACTCATGCGAGCTTATACGTTCTCTTTGCACACGCTGGCTGAGTTCACACGATGCCCTTAACCTGGTTGCTGGACTAACCCATTTTCTGGGTTCACAGAATGTCACCTCGCCAAATCGGCTGGATTTGTGCCAACCCACCAAACCTCAGTAAAGCAAACCAAGGTTACCTTTAGCCAGGTTTTGCATGCTGTACGAGTGGGGTCACTAAGTCTTTATCTGACTCGGCTGACCAGGTTCTGCGAACACAGCCGTGGGTTTTTATACGTATCGCACAATTACTGTGTTCTTTTTTTATCTCGGTGACTCAGAAAGCCGTTTAACGCAGCGAAAGGGAGAAATGACTTTAACTGATAAAAATGACTAAGTTGCTCGGTCTGGACCTTAAAAGTCCTGATGACAATTCACAGAATGTCATGAGAGATTTGGGTCAAAGAAACGATGCGTAAAAATCACCAGCCTTTCCTCCCCACCCCAAAAATACATAACCGGATTAGTTGTGAAGGAAAGGCATTGATGCTTAATCTGTAGACCTTCCCCTGCCCTGGGTGGGCAGAGAAGGGTTAGGTAAGTGAGTTTAATTTTATACAGGGCACAGTGAAAATAAAGATATTCTTCTCCTGAAACAGAGCGATGTTATTCTGGAGCATTAAAAGGATGGCATAAATTATGTCTCTATTTTGGTATCCTTACCGCCATTGACATGTTCTGCTTCCTTTAATTGAGTCTCCTTATTATGTAATTGTACCATTTACACTATTTAAAAAAAACAGACTCATTAAAAGTGCTTTTTTAAAAAAAAAACACCTCTGTAAGGTATTTTTAATCCACAATGGAGTTTTGGACTCCATTCCACCTTCCCGAAAACGGGCACTCCGTTTTAGTCCTCCTGGGATGAATTTCTCCTTGGCTTTAGGAACCGGGGAGCCCTTGACCCGCCTGGGGCCGCCGAGAGGGCCCCTGGTTTTAGGCTGAACGATCCAAACCCCGCACCTTTCCCCGGGTGTGTGTGCACCCGCATCGCACACATCCAGGACAAAGTCCTGTCTTTCTCCTCCTCCTCTGCTGACGGTTCTTGACGGTTGCAGATGGATGGATCCAGAAAACGTCCTCCGTGTCCTCGGGGATGGCAATACTGGCTTCCCCAAGTGGGTGGCACGCTTGCCAAGACAGTGCAAGCCCACGCTTGCTCGCTCGGGGGTGAGGGCCGTATTGCTCCGTTCCCGAGGCTGGTGCGCGGAGAAGGCTTTGGGGTGCAGCGAGGACCGTGGGAACCTCGTTGGTCGTCCAGCACCATCCCGGTTGCCTGTCTCTTTTGCTGGATGTCGGGAGCACCCCGCTGTCTTCCCAAACGGCTTTTACTCCTACTAACATCTCCACCTCATTCCATCCCTCGTCCCCCATTTATCCTTCCACACGGGGTCTGTGTTGGCCCTAAAAAGCGGCTTAGCCCCAGGGAGTGGGGCTCAGCCAAATGGGGGGTCCCCCCTGCA